CCACTGAGTGGCACGCCGTTCCAGACCCCAAGCTATCGGGCAGTAGTTTTGGCACTATGGTGGCGCGCCACCCCAAGCCCCTGCCTGGAAATTGACAAATTTTCTTGTTTAATCTCATGCCCTAACCTATCTAGAATCGAACAATTTTCCTCAAACTCTTTTGGATTCTTAAAACCAAAACATTTACAAAGAAATTCACATAAAAATCGATCAAGAACAACTCTCATATGCAACCCTCACCTCAAGAACTCCATAATCAAAGAACAAAGCACAAAACCTCAAGAACTCAAATCATTCAATCTCAAGAATGAAATTACAAATAAAAATAATATGATTGGCGTGTGGGTGAATGAACCCAACACTATGAGAACTTAAATACCTCGTACAGATCAAATCCTTGGCGAAACTCCTCAATAATAACAAGAATTTCGAACGAACACTTGAACTTCTCCTTTATCTCCTCTTGCACTTCTATCTAAACCCCTAAGCGTTTTTAGGAATTGTGAAAACTGATCCAAATTAGATTAGACTCTTATTTTGGGTAACCAAAACGTGAAAAATAGTGGGGTAAGGAAAATAACAAAATACCCCTCCTTAATTCGGATGAATTTCCTTAACTGGAGAGCCTGAACTTTAACGAACATATCTCCTTCATCCAAACTCGGAATTTTGCGAACTCATTGGCGTAGGAAAGAGGACTCAAATATCTTTCATATGATATCTCATTGGCCATGTAACACATCCTACTATGAATGTTATGGTCATTTGAAGTTGACCCAAAATACACAAGTTAAGACTAACTTGCAAAATTCTCAATTTAGCTCTTTCCAATTTAGTTCTTTCTAAAATTAGCTCTTTCTAAGGATGGGGTTTTACAGGCGATACCCGACTTACTTCGCTGAGAGACTCCGATGCTGAAATTCTGGGAAAGTATAAATGCTATTTTTCAAAGGAAGAGAAGTACTTTGAACAATTCTGGAATTTTACACACATTACTCAACTTTTTCGTTTTTGATATTTTACATTCTATAACATTATTTTGAGCTTTTTGAGTAAAGATTGAGATTTTTGGCTTTAATTGGAGCATTTGGAAACTTGTGGATTGTTCCATATCTGATGGAAAACATATTTGGTAACAATTTCTTGTTCTTTAATATGTTAGGCTAAAAACCCCATTCTAAGGTGTCTTATTATGTAGTTGAATGCCTTAATTAGACAATGAGTGTTATTAATTACTAATTTTATATTTGATTTGAAGTGGGTTTAATTAATTGGTTCATGTTTTAATTGAAGAATTGTAGTGGAAAATCCCATTCTAGATTAGAACTCGATACTTGCTTGAGAAAGAAGTGTTAGAGTAAAATTATTAGTTGATAATTGTTTTGATTGCATTGTTATGAATCTAGCTTGAGAGAATGGGCTTAATTGCAATCTTGCTTGAAAAGGTGGATTGATTAAGGTAATGGGTTGTTCGATTGTGTTTCGCTTGTGAGGTTCGAAAGAACTCACTTGAATCGCAATAGTTGATTGAGAAATGACTATTGCACTTAAAACCCAGCCTACCCACTGATAATCAACAATTTTGAGTAACTCATAATCACCCGTTACGCGAAATCAACATTCAACTTATCAAACACCTAAAAAACCTTCTCTACTTGCTTACATCCATTTTTAGTAGTGGTAAATTGGTTACCCAAATCCCTCATTTGATATTAATCATTCAAATTTTGTGATTTACTTTAGTTTTATAAAACTTCTACTTTTAAAAACGATTAGGATACCATTTTACTTCTTGATTAAATTTTTTATTGTAGCACTCCATGTGTGATCGACCCTAACTCTTAGGTGGATTTATACTTTTCAATGACCGCCTACACTTAGAACTGGATGATGTGTAGTTGAGTGTTATAAAAAATGGCGCCTCTACCGGGGAGTGGTGTTTAGAATTCTTTTATTGAAGTTTAGTCGTGAACAGATTTTGTTGTAGTTGAATCGACTTAGTTGTGTTCTTTGTTAGATGTTTTAAAATAGGTGAAGAGATGAGTGTCAATGGGAGCAATACCAGCCAACTTGGGAACAACGATGATATCAGAAATTTGCATGATGTCAATGCGGATCACACTACAACATTTTAGGCCTACGGCCACACTAATTCTGGACAACACTTTTAAAGTGTTGCCTAAACTACTTTTGGGGACGCTTTTAAAGCGTAGCCCAAGTTTTTAACTTTTAGCTTCGATATTATTGGCAACACTTGTAAAGTGTACTGTTTAATGGTATAAGCTACACTTTATAAGCATTGTTAAAGTATGATATAATTGGCAACAACTATTTACATATATTGCCACACATTTAAAGTGTCCTATTTTTATAATTGTAAAAACAACACATTACAAATATAGCCTTAAAATTTTCACTAAAATATTATATTCCCTCCAACATTTTTAACTCTCCCTCCCATTTTATTTGGGCAAAAAAAAATATTCATAAAACATTAAAATTTTCCTTTCATCCAAATCAGAAAAAAGTCGGTCAAAGTGAAGAACTGCAGAACACGCTGGAGCTGATGAACACGCTGAAGAGCTGGAGCTACAGAGCTCTAGTTCTCGTTGATGGTCTCTAGTTGTCGCTGAAGATTTCCGTCCTAGTTCTCGCTGAAGATTTCCGTCAGGTAATTTAGAAAAATATTTTGTCAATTTGAAGCACACGATTTTCTCTCCAAGCTAAGTCTGAACATACTTTGTTTATGTTTGAGAAGATTTGTATTGTTTTGGTGAGTCATTCTTCTCTGATCGGGTGTATTTTTTTGGAAATTTTATAGTGAGTATATGTATTGAGATTTGGGAATAAAACGTGTTTTATGTTTCTAGAATCGCAAAGCCCTGATCTGAATGATTTGTTTGCACAATGTGAGTATCTCTGTGTGGTGTTTTGCTGGATTACTTTGGGAATTTCATATGTAGTTTGTTGTAGAGCTGATGGGTATTTGGTTTCTTGATATGGTAGATCTTCCATATTTTACTTTCTGATTGTAGTTTTAGACTCAATTGACTTCCTTTTTAAGGTAATATGTGCTTGCAACTGTTGGATACAATGTCAAAGCTAAGAATTTTGCTTAAGGGTGTTCAAAACATCAGGATATATATCTAAAAAGTTATTTTTGACCTATATACACAATATTATTTGCTATTAGTTGGCAATTGTTTTGATTTTGGGGTTGTGCACAAAAATTGGTTGGTAGTTACTAGCAATGAAAACATAAACAATTTAGTTTCTAGGAACAATGTCTGCTAAAGTGTCTGCAGCAGCACGCTGACACTTTTCTACAGACAGACGCCTCATAAGAGTCTGAATTAGTGGAAGAAGTGCTAAATTATTAGACTGGATCCACAGAAGTGTAACATGCTAACTGTTTGTTTTATCAGCGCTCTTGGGAATCTTTGACATAATTTCAACTTTTCGCTGGCCGGTAGTTATGCTCTTTATGTACCAAAACATTATGCTGTTATACAGTCCAAAAGGTTAATGAAAGTAGCATTCAGATAATTTAACATTATGGGAACTTCCCACTTACAACATTTTGGTCTCTAGGTGTAAAACTAGTGATTTGATACTCTTTACCATTTTGTTTGGCAGTCTTAAAAGTGTGGTCTAGGTTTGTGCATATTCAATTATGGTATATCTGGTACTTTTGGTGCTTTCATGTATTCACGTTTCCAAGAAGGACTAGATCTTGCCAATGAGAAAATTCCACTTAAGATTGAAAAAACATGTGGTGTTTCTGGCTTGCTCGTTAAATTAATTTGTAGTTCAAGCAAGTTAAGAATCTTGGGGAAATTGACAACAATTTTTGGCTTAAAGTATTTTTAAATGACCTTATTGTCTGAAAAGTTGTGTTCTTTTAAATAGTGTGGTGCAGGAGAATTGATGAGCTTGTTGATGGCCCTAATGCGCCACACATAACTCCAGAAGCTTTAGATAGGTGTGAGGCAAGTCTGGAAGATATTTTTAATGGGCGGCTATTTGATTTGCTTGATGCAGCCTTATCCGATACTGTTTCTAGATTTCATGTTGATAAGGTTAGTCTCTCTAATTCTATCACCATTATCTTCTCCAGATTCAGATTCTATTCTTTTTTGCTGAGTGCTTTTCCGATGCAAGTATTTGTGTAATTCGATACTTCTCTTCCATATACTTCTCTTCTTTGTATTTATATCTCTTTCTAATATCATTATCTACTTATATTTTTTAATTGATTAGCAAATTAGGCAACTAGTTTTCATTTGCTATCACTGCGGGCTGACATTTAATTTGTGGTTAATAACCTCGATCTCTTACTTGCAACCATGTGAAGTGTCTGATAATTCATCTAACTGGTGCAGCCATTCAGAGATATGGTTGAAGGAATGCATATGGACTTGTGGAAATTCTTATACAACAACTTCGATGAGCTATATCTCTATTGTTACTATGTCGCTAGTACAGTAGGATTGATGAGTGTTCCAGATATGGGCATTGCACCTGAATCAAAGGCAACGACAGAGAGTGTATATAATGCAGCTTTGGCTGTAGGGATCACAATTCAACTAACCAATATACTCAGAGATGTAGGAGAAGAGTAAGTATGAAGCTATATTTAATTCACATTGATAATTTCTCTAGTAACATGCCAAAATATATCAAAAGCGTAGTCTATTTCTCATACATAAGTACAGTGTAATGCCTATTGCTCCATTTTGTTTTGAAAAAGTCGCAGGCGACTTTGCCATTCTTTTTGTTTCAAATATAGTAATTGCAAGTTGTTGCTCTACCTTCATATTACTCCACGTGGTTGTCTAATGATTGTGTGTGGCAGGCTTCCACCGATCTTCATCACCTTCACGTTTCATCTTCATATCATTTCACATCAACACAAAAGACGAATTTCCTCGATGTTTCATCTCCTCAAACTTTACATCTTCAATTACTTCAAGTATTGCTGCAATTTTAAGGCAATCTTTTTTCCTCACCCATCTTCTTCTTTGATTTTAATTATTCGTAAGTTAATTTTGAATTGTTACAATAAGTTGTGCTTTCTTTGTTGTGTTAGGTGTTTATGCTACTGCAGTAGGTTTTGATCGGGGTTGCAGTGTTATTATAGGCGAGGGGCTGCATATTTGACAATTTAGAAGTCAATTACGCACTCGAAGATTTTCAACTGGTTGGTGTTATTTTTTTTTAACTTTTTAAGCAATATCAACTGCATATATGCCAGCAGAAATTGGACGGGGATGAGTATAACTTGAACCGCTAGACCCTGAACTTTGCAACATGCTAACTGAATATGAAATTCATTTATTCTTAGCCACGTTGCAACTGCGCAGGTTGTTATGTACTTCGTATATGGGAAGCTGAGTTTTTGTTTGTCCATTAATTACTTGGATTGGTTTCTGTTATGAATTGCCTGTAAGTTCACAATCTATGTTGGTCAGACTTAGAATATTGTTCTGTTCAATGTGTGTCGGATCTTCCAAAAGCTATGAACTTAAGAGGATTCAACATTGGTGTTGCCTACAGTATTTTTAATGGGTCCGAGTAACATAGTTCATCGTAGCATTTCGTTTCAGAGTGTTTGAAGTTTGATAGCTAACTGATTGTCAGCATTCTGTTGATATACATTTCTTGGATATATATAGAGGTAAAACATGAGCAGTTCACTTGTTAGTTGTAGCCTGCCTATGAATTGCAGCCGAAATGGAAAGATTCATGTTCCTTTGATTGTTGATTTGCAGGTGATGAATAGTTTCGTTCATTCCTTACCTATGTTGCTTCGACCCTTCAAAAATGTCGTCAGGTGTGTGTTGGATTCTCCAAATGTAGTACATTTTTTGAGGATGCAACACGAGTGTGACAACATTTTTAGAGAGTCTGAGCAAGATAAATTTCTTTACATGTTTGTCATGTTAACAATTTATATATTTTCGGAACTAGATTGTATAGTAAAATCTCGAGTTTATGAAACAGGTTGGGAATCCAAATTTTGTGTTTGAAGGCAAAACTATACAAAGAATAGAACTTTTGGTACTAACCACATTGAAGTGGAGAATGATAGCTTATACACCTTGCACATACATCGATTATTTTGTAAGAAAGATGAATGACGATCAATCCCATCAGAATGTTTTGTGATTAATTCAATTCATGATTATTGAATCCTGCAATAGTATCACCATCAAATGAGGAGGAGGTGTGGCGCCACTTATAGCACTTGGACGAACTAATGATGAGGTGAATCTTTGTGCAATAGAACTTCTATATGATATATATAAATGCTTTCCTATGCCTGCTTGGTTGTTTCTCTTTTTCAACTTTCCGTAACTTGCGAAGGCCTAATTTCTTCCTCAAATTGTTATTGAATTGGGTCTTTGTATATCTTAAATTCATGTGTAACTTAGCTCACCATTTGTTGGTGAACTCTTATTCTATTTTCCTGGAAACTTTAGATGAAATTAGTCGTCTCTTCGAACTTAAAAGAAAGAATGAACCGGCATGTCTAGTGATGGCAACCTGTCCACACTTAGAGAGTAAATTTAGGATAATATTTTTAACCTTTTAATTAGTTTATTCTAGGCTTAAACTTGTCCATACATGCTTCATCACAATAAATAAATTATAGTTCCTTCCATGGCATGATGCATACTGAAGCTTTCACTAATTCTACCTTAAATGTTCTAAATAACCGAGTCACTAAATCTGAAGTAGGTAGTGTTTTAATAACGTCTTCCACATAATTTATGGGTCATTCATATAATTTCTAAATATATTGTATTGTTGAAGTATGCCATATTTAGATGTAGTATCTTTTGGACATTTGTTTATGTACCTGCAAGTGGTTTTACCTAGCAGTGCAATGTCAATGATGCCTTACGCATTTATACAGAGAAATTTATACGTATCATCATTTTCTGGAACATAAAACTAATATGTGAAGCAATAGTTCTATTAATTGGCATGTAAATGACAAATGCAGGTACTCTCAATTATATAAGTTTTCCTGCTTCTATGAGTGAGAAATAAGCACAAGTATAATTACACTCATGTTATTATTCATTTATGATGCAACACCTTCTAAGAAATTCGTTTGCTCTTTTCAGGAAAGCCTCTAAAATAGCTACCAACTATTTTTAGAGGCTACACAATCTTCAATAAGTATTTTTTGCCAAAACATAACAAGTAGTGAATTTAGACGAGACGACTATGTGAATACATATGCTTCAGAGGAAAGAATATAACACTAAGAAACAATACTTGTGGCCAGAGAAACAAACGGGAAGAAGATCACAAATGTTAAAAATTGCATTTGCTGAAAGTAATCTAGGATGTATGTACATGTAGGTTTGCTTTTCCTAAATTTTTTTTGTTGATGTCATTTGAAGGCCTGAAAATTCAGTGTGTGTAGAATGCAGAGAGACAAAAGATGGTCTCTTTGGTGTCATTGAAGTAACGGCTACTTTTTGCTGCTTATTCGTGTATATGAATTTCAGTTGTCCTACACTCATCTAGGTTCAGTGCAATAACTTGCTCTTATGAAACTTATAAAGCTGAATTGTTGGGCCCGTGCGCAGCACGGGCAATGAATCATCTAGTACCTCAAGATGAATTAGCACAGGCACGGCTCTCCGATGAAGACATTTTTCGCTGGAAGAGTGACTGATAAATGGAGGATCTTTATGAAGAAGCAAATTCAGAGGGCAAGGAAATTCTTTTATGAGGCAGAAAAAGGTGCCAAAGAACTGAGCTCTGTCAGTAGATGGCCGGTAAGTAGTCATAAAGTTATAGTTGATCTTATGTATCTGCTACTTTTTCTTTTATTGTTAATTGTTATGGTAGTGAGGTAAAAAACAATATGAACTTATGTTTTTTATAGTGACACATTCCATCACATTGTTATGCAAAACAGAATAGGCTTCAGTTCAAAAAAAGTCTCCTCTCATTTGGCTATAGTTAATATGGACTAGTCGTCATACTAGTCGACATTGAAAGGTATCATAGTTTTCGATTTCTAGTTTTTAAATCCTCTAAATTATATGTTCCTTCATCACAGAGTAGAGGAAAAAGAGCTTGAACAACGTTCGTCATAAACTGAAGGTATGTTCTGTGTCTAAGAGCACAAACTGTTTTAGTTTACCTCTCTTGTTCTGTTTAAGCTGTACAGGCCCACTAAATGTTTCTATTAAAAAGGTCTTTATTATTTTTTTGAAAAGGACAAAATGATTAAATTGGACCTTAATGTGTGGTAGTTGGATTATATTAATCCTTCATATATTTATATGGTGTAACTTTCATGACATGGTAGGTCTGTGTATACTCTTACCTTCTTAAACTTCACTTATGGTAATAGAATTGTAGAAAAGTGATTATTTTAGTCCTAAACAGTCTCATTTTATCTTCTTATAAAGAAAGAAATCTTAACTCAAAAAATCTGCTAGAATACCGGAATCTGCAATCTGAACAGGCACAAACTGTTTTAGTTTGCCTCTTCTCATTTTGTTTATCTTTATCAGCTCAATTTATATGCTTAGGTATATTCATGTTTTTGTGTTCCAAGCATATACTGGATCTGCAATCTGCTAGAATACCTGAATCTGCAATCTAAACTTAAAAAATCTTTACACAGTGCTACAATTTGAACTCAAAAAATCTGTAATCTGCTACAATACATTGTGCTGCCTGAACTAAAAAAATATGCGGTCTGCCATTCTGCAATCTGGAACTGCTGCAATCTGATTTGTTGTACATAGTTTGTTTTGTTTTTTAATTTCATTTTAAATGTGTAGGGAAATGGAGGTGATCAAATTTGAAGGGTCGCCACAAGTCAATTTGATCTCATTGAAGTGGATGATGAAGAGTTTTTGAACTATTGTAAAAGTTTGAATACATTATATTTGATTTTGTGAAATATATTCATTGCTAGAATATATTGAACTATTGTAAGAGTACTTTTTGAACTATTGTTATTTAAAATATTGCTTTATAAGTATGTGTATGTACACAAGACATACTATCTATCTTTTGAAGTTGTATGTGTAAGTACGTACAAGACGTACTATCTTTTGAAGTTTATTGCAAATCTATATATTTGAATTACTTATTAGCTAATTTAATGCTTGAGATTATTTATTGCAAAATAATATTGGTGTTTTTTAATTAGAAATTGTGGCATATAAATATTTTATAGCCAAAATGATATGGCCACACTTAAAAGTGTAGCCATAGGACTGTAAATTGTGGTATGCACATGGGCAAGGACTACACTTAAAAGTGTTGTCATACATTATATAGAAAAGGCAACACTTTAAAATTGTTGTCATACATTAGATAGAAAAGGCAACACTTACAAATCGTGGGCAATAAGGAAGCTAAGGCCACGCTTAAAAGTGTAGTTGTATGAGATAGAAATGTTGCTATTTGAGGTACATAAAAGCGTTGCCATTTTTCATTTTAGGCTACGCTTTTCAGCGTAGCTGATGAAAAGTGTTGCCTAAACTCTAAGGTAACGCTACTTTCGGGCACCCCTGGAAAAGTGTTGCTTAAAGTCCAAAAGTGTAGCCTTTTATCAAAGGCCACACTTTTTGCTAGTTTAGGCTACACTTTACTGGGGTGGTCGTAGGCCTAAAATGGTGTAGTGTCAGTTGGGAAGTGTAGGGGATATCCGATTTCCTTGGATTGTGGGCAATGCAGTGTTTCATGTGACCAACACTATGTTGCTGCTATTGCAAATGAAGGGTCTCTTTGGATGACTCGCTAATGATGACCCTCATGACCACATCAGGAACTTCGTGGATGTATGTGGGCCATTCTCTTTAAAGAACATTACCTAAGAGTTAGTCCGGCTTTGTTTATTTCCCCTTTCTCTAATGGGGGAAGTAACAAAGTGGTTGACCGTGCTACCAAGGGATACATTCACTTACTGGAAGGAGCTCACCGAGGTATTCTACGAAAGGTTTTCCCTCCTTCGAAGATGGTTAAGTTGAAGGATAGTTTTTATTACTTCAAGTGTATTGATGTTGAACCCATCCATGAGACATGGTTGAAATTTCAAAAGTTGTTGTTTCAATGTCCGACTCGTGGGCTGCCAGACAAAGTGTTGTTGCAATATTTTTACCAAAGCCTTGACACGGTCAACAAAGGTGTTGCAGAAAAGTGCTTTGGAGATGGAATCATTAGACAACCGTTCTACATAAAATTAGCCCTTATTGATGAGATGGCGAAAATTAATCGTACATGGTACACAAGGGAAGATCAAGTGTCTCCTTGAACTTTGGGCTGACTAAGGAACGATCGGAGAAGTACCAAGAGCGAGATTAAAACATTGCCAAAATAATGACCCAAATGGGCTTATTGATGAAACATGTCATGGAAAGTGCTTCTAAGGCTGTCAATGCGATCGAAATTAGGGGAGTGAATCATGATGCACCACACTTTGAGTCTGTGTACAATGAAGAAGTGCATTTCTTGCCAAATCAGGCAGGAGATTCTCGTCTGAACTATCCAAGGCCAGGTGGGAATCAAGGTTGGAACAGGGACCATGATGATTGTTGGAGAGACCGAGATAGGGAATGACGTGACCATGGTACAAATTAGAGGGAGCGGGATGGTGACAAATATCGTTATGCGCCTCTTCATGAGTGTCAAAAGCCAAAGAGCAAAGAGCTGATCCTAAAAATTTTCGCACCGAAAATATGCATGCTCGTATCCTCAACAAAGTGGAAGGATACGACAACTTTCTAAAGGAAATGAAAAATGACATATTTTCTCTAAACCATACGGTTGCTTAACACTCAGTGTCTGTTGAGCAGCTGGAAACATAGATGGGTCAAATCTCAGCTCATTTAAATCTAATACCAAAAGGGGGTTTACCAAGTGATACCATGGTTAACCCAAAGAATGAAGCTTGGAAGCACGTTTTCGTCATGCGACTGTGTTAAATAAAGCGCTTCTTGGGAGCCAACCCAAGTTTTAGCTTTTGTTATCTAAATAACAGTTGTTAGATGTGCAGGTTGAAAAGTCAACTTTTTGAAGAAATAGGCCATTGGGTGAATCGTTGAGTGGGTCGGCGAGCTCGATGTGGATTGCTTTTTTGACAAACCAAAGGGTTGGAGTTCAGGTCACTTCGACGGGAAAATTTCCCTCGGCGCTTCGCCGAATTGGTCGATGACATAAGTGGATATCGCCGATCGACGCACAAACTGAAGGGTCAAAATGCTTCAAACCATTTTAAACTCAAATATCATCTTGATTTCACATTTTTCGACTCTTGCACTCTTTCCCTTTCATTTTAGATAATAATTTGTGTGAAATATTTGTGTGGGTGTCGTTGCTTGGGTGGAATTTGTGCTTGTTTTTGCATTTACCCGTGTTGCTTATTTATCTGAATCTGAGGTTGAGGTTGGTGTCCTGAACATGCTTTAATTTCTTCCCATTTCCTAAGAATGTATGTATCAGTGATGGATCTATTGTTTTCCCTTGAGCAGTTAATTGATTAGTTAATTATTGTTAGGAAAATCGATCATGTTAGATGTTGGATTGTTTAAATTTGAATTTTGGGTCTAAATTATTTGATTGGAGATTTTGCATATTGGGTTTGTGTAGGTGAAGTGAAATTAACCTAAATCGCACTGAACAACTAAATTTGCCCAATGATAGATTGGGTGAAGTTTTTCTTAAGGTTAAAAGAGGTTGATTGTTTAATTTTAGATAAATTGGGGGAAGTCTGAGTACCCCGGGATTGGTAATGATATGAGATAGGTGTAAAGACCAGTCGACAAGCTTAGTCGAGCTCGCCGAATGACTCGGCGGTTCGCCAACTGACCTCTTACATCACCCTTTTTGCTATGTATTTAGCTGATGGATTATGTATCATTCAGGGATATTCCTGAGTTCCCGAGTTTACTTGGTGACTCACCGAATTTAATCGGTGACCCGCCGAATGCCCTTGTTATCGCCTTTTTGTAGCCATGTTTGTTGAAAATCTTTCTGTGAAATTTGGTGAGCTACCTTTAGCTCGCCACTCTAGTTCGGTGATTCACCGATTTTCCCCGAACCTCGCTGACTTGTGCTGACTTCTTTGAACTTTGGTTCTCAAACTTTCAGTGAGCCCTCTATGGTTTGTTGAATGTGCTTGGTGAGTCGCCAAGTCGATCAGCGAGGTTTCCTACAATTCTTTTATTTTGGTATTTCACTAACCTATTGTAATTGCGTTTGTTCAATTTTCGTTGTCTCGGAGATATGGATAGGCCCAAGGTACCTGGAAGGAACCAACCACCTAGAAAGAGAGCACGATAAGTAGTCATTTCAGAGGAGTCTTCTCCTCCATGATCAACGCGACCCAAACATCCTCCAAAAAGGGAGAATTGGACAGATAAAGGAACGAGACCTGCAGAGCCGAGTCCAAGTAGTTCTATCTTCGACAACATGGGTGTCTATGACACCTACCTCAGTACATCTGAGTCTGACAAAGAGGAAAAACTTGGGTCTAGAACTCCAGCCTATGAGTTAGAACCAGAGGATGATCAAACCCTTCAACTGA